CACACACAGCAACAACCGCTGCCTGCTGAAAAACAACCGTAATAACCACAACCGCTGTGAATCAGGGGAACCAGGCTCCAGTCCCACCAAGGGAGGCTACGTGAAAAAGCTGTGTGTCTACATACAACACTTGTTCAAGTATCATTTCTCCTAAATTTCTATTTAGGAAAATACATTCATCTGTATTAAACTCTTCCTACATCCTGAAAACCATTCAATCGTAAAAGAAGGAGCTGAGGAGAAAAACGTTAAGTGACCAAAACACCCGACTGGCGTTACAGAAGTTCTCTCACCTTAGTGAAGGTCCCAAATTTACTAACGAGATTTGGTTTCGTACAGAATACTGCATGTAGATGTGGATAAAAATTAGAAATTATCTGAATAGACACGAGGCCTATTCAACTAATGTATTGTTTATACTTATCCAAAATTAGTTTTGTCATCAGCCACTCGGTGGCCTGGCACAGTCTCCATCTTGCAGAAAACATTGCATTGGAAACTCAAGCAATCACAAATCACCTTGCTGAATTAAGTAGGGCTGCCTTACTAGTACTGTAATAAACCTAATACATTTATATAGCATCTACATTAAGTCCTAGTTATGCAGAAATCCCTTGCCTTCAGATTTTTACAAATCTGTATGCCAGACGTGCTTCTTTTGAAAGAGAACACAAATCACCTGTTTTGTCAAAATGAGCTCTTCTGGTCATAGTTGCACCACATTAAAATGCAATAATCCCATTATTTACCTGGACGCATACTTTGAAATAAAATAATTTAAAAAAAAAAAAACCACAAAGCTTAAGTTTCTTTGCAGATCCACCCTTCTGCCTCCAAATCAACCCAGACCACAATAGTCTGGTGAAGGCTACTATTTACTACTAAAATGGGGGGGCAAGGACAGGAGGAAATCAGAAAAACAGAGAAAGAGCACACCATATAGAAAATGTCAAATATGTCAAAACATTCATGAATACCAACATCTCCCTCTGCACCATAACCAGCTGTAAAGGTTACTTAGGGCTAACGTTTCAGCAAGTGCAGATTATGCAGCAGTGGGTTTACTTATACATAAAAAATCAGCTACAGGTGCATCTGAAGTGCTTTTATGTATGCAGCCAGTACAGGGATTTCTAACACTAAAGAAAAGTCAGAAGGGTAAAATCACGTAAAACACAAATTTTCTAGCTTTGACTACCCTAGACATAAATTCCTCCTGGCTGCTCTCTATGTGTGTGACATATGCAATGAGGATAATTAGGTAAAGGACTAAGAAAGCAAGTGTTGCTGATTGCATTCCAAAACTAATAAAGCTCCTACACGGGTCTCGTGCCTGCAGTAATTCATCTTCCCAGCGCCACGTTCAGGAAAGGCGGTTTCAGAATACGTCGCGACACTTTCTTGTCCCTAAGTCACCAATTGTGAATTATATCAGAATTACCGCAGACAAGCACAGTTTTACGGAACTTGAAGCATAACACATGCAAGGCATACGTTACGTTATCCAGGCCCTCAGGTAAACGAAGCTTAAATTAAATGTCATGAGTTGAACACGATGTACTGTATAAGGAAACACCTGACCTGAATTCACCCCCAGTTTTGTTTGTCAAGTTTGTAAACCCTAGCATGTTTTGGAAAATTATGCCTTAGCGCAATCTTCTCATCCTTCCACATCAGGAGGAGAAAGGTGTCCGGCTCTGGAGAGTAACAATGAGACAGTCCACAACGTAACGGCGTGGGCTTCACTGGAAATAGAAACGTGGCTTTTAGATAAACAAAGCAAACAGACTCCATTCTTATGCATCGGTGCACTGAAGGAGTAACTCTGTAGAAGACAGTGCAATTGTATGAGCAAAAAAAGTTAGGTTCAAATCAGCCCAGCGGCCTGATAATGAACTACAAAAAGGAAATCCTGCGGGAACAAAACAGAATGGGTTTTGTCTGCCTTCTCACACGAGCCAAGCAGAAAAAGCAGTAACAAATTTCATAATCAGCACAGAGCTAAAATAACTAAGACAGTTACTATCTGAAATATTGTATGCCTGCAGAAGTAAAATCTTTTAATAAACCCTCCCATTGATACTACCATTTAAAAATTATTCCTTCAGCTCCATATTCTGCATTGAGCTTCCACTCCAAACATTTTTCTAAATGTCTCTCTACAGTGGTTTGTTTGTTCTGCCTTTTTTTCTTCCTTTCCTTCCTTCCGAGGGGTCTGCAAAACAGGGAAACCAGCGGACTCCTCTCTCAGGGAGCACAGAGACTTCAGCAGCCCTTCCCTCTCCAGCTTGCCCTGTCTGCCGAGGGCGAACACCCTCAAGACGAGAGAGCCCCTGACACCTGGAAGCGTTACCTGCTGTGACTCCTAACCAAACCCGTCCTGGACGCTCCCGTCCAGGCAGGCAGCGTTCCTCCCAGCCTTTTGCACCGCTGCAAGGCGCAGCTGACCGGGTGCCACACCGAGCCGCAGCCGTGGCAGAAGCCCATCCGGAGGGATGCGGAGCGGAGGGAAGAGAGCCTGGAAACGTGCGGGAAGATGGGACCGCTTGGCAGCTGGAGGGAAAAGCCAAGCCAGGTGTGAAATGGCTGCATCGGAAGGACAACTTCTGCTCTCCCCCAGATGTAGAGGATGTTGGGAAAGTTATAACAAAAGGCACTGGGGAAAGCGTTCGGTGAAAGCAGCCTATTGCTCCAGAGAAAATGAGAGCCGGTGGGGACTTCATGTAAGGGTTAAAGTCGCAACGACTTCAGCCCCGTGCCTGTGGCAATACCCAGCTCTGGAGCCCGCTCAGCCTCACCCAGGCACTGCCTAACTCTCTGCCCCCGGACCCGCTACCTGCCCCGGCAGACGCCTGCGATAGGACCGGGTTTTATTTCTTCTTACAACTCTTTTTTTTTTAATTAATTCCTCCCCTAACCGAGCCGCAAAAGCCCCTACCCCACACACACACAAACCCCCAAGGCTCCCTTTCATCCATCACGACGCCATTGAACGACACCCCGGTGCTCGGGGCTTGCCCGCGCCTCCCGGCAGCAAGCCGGGGGTGCTCGACCGGCGGCGACGGGATGCGGTCGGCG